TTCTGGTCCCCATGGGCATTGCACACACATGGTATACCTATATACATGCCAGGAAAACCTAGTACACATACAAAATTAGTGAATTTTTAAAAAGTTTAAGGTCTTTCAAGAAATTCACTATGAACAATCTATTCCAAGGAAACGATGAAACAGACTCCTGTATTTAAATAATTCCTGAAAGTAAAAAAAAAAACTTCCAAAGGGAAATATAATGCACTATTAAAATGCTTTAAAGGCAATTTTTAAGCATATGGAAAAAATACTCATTTAAAAAGTGTGCTATACCAAAGTGCCTATACAGGAAAAAAATTCCTCCTGCAAATTGTGTGAACAGGAACTACGGGAAAGAAATATAAAAAAACATTCCCATGTAACATTAATTACCATCAAGAGATCTTTGGGAGCAGAGATAATTTCATTTCATTTTTTTTTGTGTGAAATCTAACAAAAAAGTCAAATACAGAAACAATACAATGATGGTGGGGGACTAGAGATGTAGGTCAAAGGGTATATAGTTTCAATTATGCGAGCTGTTATCAATAAAAGTATAAGAACAAGAGTCAAAATTATAGTATCCTAGGACTTTCTAAGAGAATAAATTTTTAGGTGCTTTTACACATCAAAGCTTTTTTTGGCATATAAATTGGCTCAACGGTAGTAATTATATGTTTATATAAAATCCTATTATATACCTTAAATAAACACAATAAATAAAGTTTTATTTACAATAACTTCAAATAAAATTTAAAATACGACACAAAGGCTGGGTATGGTGCATGCCCATAATCCCAGTATTTGGAAAGATCAGGCCAGACACAATGGTGAGTTCCAGGCTAGTTAATACAGTGAGCTCGAAGTTAGCTGACGACTGCCAAAGGAGACCCTGTTACCAACTAACAATACAAAATAAATCAATCCTGAGAGAAACCACTGTTTGGAAATGGGTCTTCACACTAGTCAAAGTCAAGACAGCCTACCCTTTGAACTACTGCTCATCAAATTTGAGGTCCACATCCACATAAGCAGACTTCCATCTCACTCTGCCTCTCAGATCTCTATTTACCCTGCCAGGGTGTGCTCTGCCATGCCCAGATGCCACCTGCTCTTCTCTCCAAGCCTGCACTTCCTCTGGCATTTTGTTTCATGATGAACGATACCATGTGGTAACCTAATCCCGACTTTGCCTTATCCATTTGCTCACAAACCTCACTCCTCTCTCTGGAATCCATACTTTAAAGTGTACACATCACAGCTCTGCTGGGCATGACAGAAACTTTCCACTTGGTCTCCTTACCTTGCCTAATCTGTCCCTTTTCCGTAGCTGCACAACACCCCCACAAAGTCCTCTTCACTGAAGACTGGTGACCTTTCCAAACTTAACATCTAACCATCCCACCCTTCTGGATGGAAATCACCAGGTCATCACATGTGGGACACTAGTCCTGGGTTAGTAATGGCTCCCCTTGCCCCCCAGCTTCCATTCTTACCCCTTCCTGGACCCATGCCCTCTACTCTTTATCTCCCAGCTCTGGGCCTCTGTGCTTCTGGTCCATCTGGGGATGCTCACCAAGTCTTTAACTCTATCTCCTTAACCTCAAGGGATGCCCTTTAGGAGGCAGTCTGGACTTCACCGTGAAGTCACATGTGATAGGGAAGTCACATGGGATAGCTGATGCATTCCACAAGCCTCCTTGGCATGGCACTTTGTATCCCTACACCAATTCTGCACTGTGATCTTCCTTTTGTTCTTGCCTACTATAGTAGGCCCGCCATGTTTGTTGAAAAATTAATCGATGTTTCTGCCACCCAAAATAGTTACCTACTCTCATGTCTTGCAAGAGCTATTGCCAAAGATTTCATCACTTCCCTCAGCTAGCTGCTCAACTCTTTCACTGCCAAGACGATGCAAAGAAGGCAGTCTTATCTATTGATCAGCCAGCAAATTTATTAATTATATTCCTTGTATCTTGACAATAGCTCCTTGGTTTTATCTGGATGTATTTACTCCTAGTGAATTTATCACAAAAGTGTTTTTAATGTTCTGAAATATAGCAGCCATGCACAGGACTGCAAGTTACCAAAGGTGGGCAGTGTGGAAGGCCCAAGGACACAAGGAAAGAAAATCAGGTGGTTACTGTGTGAAGGCTCTCAGCAACAAATTCTCCTGCTTAGACCCAAACCCTCGGCTCCTTTATCTCTTCCTAGAAGGGTGTATAATTTGTTGCTTGTCTATCAGCACTTCATAATTGCCCAACATCTTTTTTCAAGCCTGACTCAAACTGGACACAAGGAATCTGATTAGAGTCAAGTCTGTATTTTCTTACCCTGTATGTCAACCTGCTTTTAATATACTCAAGTCATGCCTACTTTTTTCCACAATGGCCCCACAGTACTGATTTCAACTTAGCTCATGAGCAGTAAAGGCTATATTTTTTCAAACACTGCCCTTCTGTATTCAACAACTTTCCCTTATGTCTACTCCCATCCAATTTCTTCCAGTGGAGTAGAACCATCTCTCCAATTTGTTATGGCTGCTATGAGTTGTATTTCTGAAGTTCAGATGACTCGTAGTCCTACCTACTTTAGTAACTCACACAATGGAAAAAAAGAGAGAGAGAGAAAAAAACCCTCCGTAATTTTATGGTGCATAAAAATAGGCCAAAGTAGTTTACCACTGGGTCCTTAGCTCTCTGCCCGAATTCTCAATTACACATAAATGTACCTGGCTAAGTATATAGAGATTCTGGGCTCCACGTTTGGAGCGTGTGCTAATATTAACCATTCTCTAATATTTATTATTAGTCATGGATTCTTCCACCCTTTGTCCTTTTCTCAGCTTTGCATATCCCCACCCAGCAACCATAGAGAGTGACTTCTGACCTGTATGCTTCCCACTTTTAATAGCAGTGTTTTGAGCTACCTAAGAACAGTGGATAGGTCCCAATCTAAGCTAGCCTCCTGTACCCTGGGGTACGTGGACTGGCTTCACTGGGTCTATGGACGCCTCCACAAGTAAATGTTTGTGTATAGATGTGGTCCAAGGCTTCATGGATTCTGCCAGATTCTCAAGGGGGTCTACTACCCGGAACAGGTTAGTGATTAAGTCTAAGGCATCAGGACTTAACTCAGTACATTGAATAAACAGCACCAGAGAAGACTTGACCTTCTACTCGCCTCTCTTCTGAGAGAATGAGAACATCCACGGTAACCACACACCAAGCATCCTTTGCATTAATTAAGGATGTGATTAGGAGGAAGGGATCCAGCACGTGTAACACACAGAGGTAAATCTCTATCCACAGTATCAAGGCTACCTCTTCTCAGTCTCTGTTTTTATAGAAGCTCAATATACTTTGTGTTCTTTTCTGAAGCTTACTTGGTGATACTGGTGGAAAATCAAAGAATTATGAATAACATGTTCCTCTGTTATAAATATTATGCTACTAACCCAAAACGCAAGTCTTTCGTCTTTTGCTACAATATACCGATAGTCCACACTATGCTTTAATACATAAAAATCATTTACCCAAACCGTTTTTATCAGTATGCTGAAAAAAATCAAAATAAATCTTAATTCTTAACTCCCATGCTTGTCTGTAGGTTATGTTTGCATATTAATGATCATCACACCCAGAGGATTTTCCACAGATGAGTGTGAAGTGTATTACAAATATATCAGAAAAAAAAAGTTCTTTAAAGTTTCTTCTTAGACAAAAAGCCATTTAGGGGGTTTTAAGCAAGAATCGGTAGCCATTAGAAACCGCTGTCACACATACTCACGGTTGAATGGCCGCCCAAAGGATCTTGCAGGCTAGACTTGCACTGGAAGCAGAGGATTGAATTCCATTAGAACAGGCCAGCAGAGGTGCTCAGTGCCAACACTACCTTTCCCCAGCCCATCTTAAATGCAGGCCCAGGGATTTTGGAGTCCTCCAGACTAACAATAAAAAACCACACTAGGTTGTTTTCCTAATTCCTATGAAATGAGTCAGTAGGTCAAGCAACTTCTCCACTTGGAGAGAACAATTCCTGCAACTACACTCCCTGTTTCCAGTAACCCAGCTCTTTCACTCTGCCCCTGGATACAAGTGCTCCCACTAACCCAGAGCTCCACCGGGCCTGACAGACCCAGTGTGGACACTGCCAGACAGCAAGTCTCCCTCAGGGTTTTCCTCCTCCCGGAGTAGAAAGTACAGTTAGGCATGCTCTGCGGGTGAAGCCTCCTTACCTATAGAGTTAGCATAACTTCTCTGTTGAGACCATGTAGTCACTTATTTCTTCCACTCAAGAGAAGGGACTAACACTTAAAATAAATGTAGAAACCCAATAATTACACCTCTAAAAGCCCCCCACAAACCACTTCCTTCTGAAAATAACCTTTCCTCCTCAAAAGAGCTAGCGTTCAAAAGACTGGATGGTTATTCAACTAAGCCACATTCTTAAACGCCTCTCAGGTCTCCTGTTGTTCAGTGGTTCCATCCACTGAGCTAGAGAAAGCAGAAGTGTATAAAAGCTTGCTAGCAGCTGATGAACACCGGGTTTAGCCATCATCTTCGGAAACTACCACCTACTCACCAAGGAGAGAGTTTCTTGTAGCTAGCGAGCTTCTGCATCGGAAATCACCAGCTACTGGTAAGAGATCCGTAATTCCAAGAACTTACCCATGCAGGCAAATCTAGGGACACACAGCTCGAAATAGAGGTGGAGAGACCAGCTGTGACAGTTCTTCGGTGGGAGACTTTTGCTTTCTCTCTCAACAGGGCTTACTTTCTTTTTAAAAAGACAAGGTCTCATTTTGATCTCGAGAAACTGATCAAGCCACCAACTGAAAACCTGCCATTATAAACGAGGGATTTCACAACGCTCATTCCAAAAAACTGTGGCTATTCATTTCTGGAAGTGATTCACTGCAAAAGAATCGTTGTTGGGGGTGGGAGGGAGCATTCATTTTTAGGAGACAGCCCGAGCTCTGAGAAAGGAGCAGAAACCTCAGAGTGGGCACCACGTGCAGTGCTGACCCCAGCTCAGTTCCCTGAATCACCTTCCCTCCACATGACACACAATGACCAGTCTCCTGTAAGTGGACAAAAACCCCTCTGGGCTGTGCACCCAGCCTCCTCTCCTTGCCTCTGGAGGCTATTTTCACATAAATCAGGAAGGCAGCAGCAGCATTCGCCACCTGTCAGCACTCAGAGGCTGGTGAGTAACCAGCACACAGAGACCCATTTCCTGTGAGTATTTCCAAAAGACCTTATGATATTTCCTTTTTCAAAAAAGTAAGAAGAAAAAGCTACGGAGGGAGAAGCAACTCCAACTAGCAAAGCTAAAAGCAAGCAATGTGATCAGTGTTTACCCAGCCACGCCTAGTTTTAATTTGGTTTCTCAACCCCTGTGTAATTAAGACAGCCAAAGAGAACAGTATGGGGGGGCGGTTCACAAACGCTTAGACCTTCTGAGTGCGTGACCAGAAAAGTAATTTTAAGATTGAAACGAACCAATCTGAAGCTGGCTAAAGCATTAACCCTTCAGGAAAGAGAAGTTTTTGTTTGTCTCTAGATTTCAAACACGGAAATCATCTTTCCGCCCAGATGATGTTAAAACCCAGCTTCCGCTGTCATCCCCTGGGTTTGCATGTTTTCAGACTTGTGTTGTGGGGACAGAAAAATACTCATATTATATAAGACACAGTCATGTTAACAGGGCAGCCCACGTGTCATCCAACTGTAAGGTGGCCTTTCAAACTGGCCAACAAAATACGACATTTTGTCTTTCTCATAGCTCCAGCCAAACCTGTTCGTTTATGTCACAGAAGAGATGAAGTTTCCTTGAGAACTGGACAAAACAGGTGAATATCCCCAGGCCATAAAGTGGTACTATTGAAGACTAGAGAACCATTTGTAAAAATGCAATATAATTTGAAGCTGAGGGTGAGTAAAATAGAATCTATAACTGGAAGTAAGAATATATATAAACATACGACACTGTAGCACAGTCATCCTTTCTGCCCCTATCCTTGAGACCTAATCAGTGTTCTCAGTGAAAAGGAATATTCTGTTAGAAAAAAGTTCTCCAAAGCCGGGCGTGGGCACACCTTTAATCGCAGCACTTGGGAGGCAGAGGTGAGTTCAAGGCCAGCCTGGTCTACATAGTGAGATCCAGAACAGCTGGGGCTACAGGGAAACCCTGTCTCAAATTCTAAAAAAAAAAAAAAAAAAAAAAAAAAAAAAAAAAGTTCTCCAAGAGCAAGACTCCTTCACACTAAGAAACATCTATAATATTTTTTAAAAATCCTTTCACTATTAAGCTTTGATGGAAGGAAAAGCATTGATTAGTGTTCTGAGGACCACTCAAACACTTGGATATCACGTTTCCTCTCTCACCGACAGAAGTTTCCCTCCCACCATGTTGGTGCCCATACATACCACACTCAGATCTCAACAGCGGCTCCGGCATATCTCAGACTGCAGAACTGGACAGTTCTTCTGCAGTCCTGGGTGGCCCACGGAGAGGTTTTACAAGGAGAACGGAAGGAAAAGTCGAAAAAAACTACAAGATCACGGAGCAGCAGCTCGGGGCAGAGTACAGAGAACACGCACCTAACACATGGCCGTGGAGAAGGTGGTGACTGTTGTCCTTGAGGCATACCTGTTCATCTGGTATTCTAAAGCTAGAGACTCGGACTGTGACTGAAACCCGGGCCTGCTCCTGTCCTGCTGTTGCCTGCAATGCTGTGCCATTCAAGTGTACAGAGTCCACCCTCCTTAAACAAAATAAAACCCTGACACAAAGGCACCTCATAGTTTAACATTTACTCAAAGTTCTCTCTGAAACAATGGAAGAGTGCACTCTTTCTTGGTACTTTACAGGCAGGAGACAGAGTCTCTTCACGTTGGAAGGACGTCAGCTCCAGGTTCCAGCTCCTCCTTTTGTTGATCTGCTCTTACACAGATCACCTGACCTATTTAGGCCAGCTTAATCATCTGTGACACTCAGGCCTGGCTCAGGCATGACCCACGCAATCTTCAGAGCAGCCCTACAGGTTAAGATCTATTATTGCCCCATCCTACAGATAAGGGAACCAAGACTGGGAGCTTAAAGGCTTGCCTAAGGTTACCCAATAGTAGGTGGTACAGCCAGTATTCAAAGCCAGGGAGCTTGACCTTGGTGTAGCAGAGCCTGTTAGCCGCACCCAGGTGGGGTGGGTGCACAGTGAGTAAAAGAACACTTAAGGAACTGCCTTTAAAGCCACAGAGCAGCCCAAACTGGGCAGATTTTTAAACACATTACTTACAAACACATTAGCGTTTTCTGCAACCGTTAAAAGAAAATCTGAGACAACTTTGAGTACTAACAACTAAAATGAACACATTAGTCTGTCCAAGGAAAACATTATCAGTTGCAAATTTCTGTTTGCCAAATCCATGATACTAAGTTTGAGAAGCAGAAGGGATTCAGTGAGCCTGTTTTCAATCAAGGTGGATAAACCAGGCTCGCAGCTGAGGTGTGACAGCACTCAAGTCTGGCCCTTCATGTCTAATGCCTGCCCACTGAGGTACCACTGCATTAGAGCCCCACAGAAGCTGTGAGTACATCAGGAGCTGGAAATGCTTCTCACTGTTTTAATCTGTCAGGTGTCCCTTCACCTGCAGGATGCATACACAACATTAATGCTCAAAGCAACGTGTGAGAGAAATCCTCAGACGTTCTGCCAATTATGAACATAACTAAGTGCTGTGCGATTCTTTTCTCTTTGACCTTGCTCAACTGCATCCTTCCTGATGCTCTACCGCACCACCTTTCCCAAGTGCCTGTGCAGTGACAGAAAGAAGCCTGCCTACCAGCTTGGGCTGGGCGCCTCGGTGGTCTCAGTGTCCACTCAGTCTTCATGCCAAAAGTCATTCCTTGTTTCAATGCCATGTACTCTGCACTCATATTTGGTCTTAGAACTTTTCACACAGAATTCTGATAACTTGGCAGTTGACTCAGCATGCTTGAGGCCCTGGGTTTTATTTCCAGCACATAACCCCTCCCTCACATTTTTGATTTTGTATCATGCTGGGTCACAGAAAAAAACAAAACAGAACAAAACAAAAAAAACACTTAATAAATGTCTTCCTAAATCAAAGGCATTTGTTAACAAGAAAGACTAGGAAAATAAAGAGAGTAGCTCATTCTAGTGTTAGTTTCATTTAAGATCGCTTAACAAGTGTTACTGAGAGTATGGAAAATTTATGTACGTTACATTTATAAGCCGGCACTTTTCCCCTGAAGATTTATTTGGTATGAGAAGTTCTTCCCTGCACTAAAATCATAAAATCAAGTATTATTTGCTCCTATCATTCACACACACTTCCTGTCATAAAAACTTGAACCTGGTTGGAATATTAAATAAGCCATGCAAATCTTCAGGTAGGAAGGGACTGTTATATAGATGTATCAAGTTTGTATTCCAGCCGATGAAGTGGATGAATCACTCTCACCCTTGGAAAAACCTGTCATGCTTCCTTGTCCTACATGACTAATCCCACTACGGCCCCAACAAGGATCTTTAAGGGCAAAGGAGCTTTCCCTTTCTCCTGAGCACTGTCCTGGGGGACTCTGGATTGAGCTGTAATTTACTTCCAGAATTCAATGAAGTCCAGGGTTAAAATAGGACAACTTCAAAATTCCCAGAGAACAATGTGCACATGTTAAAGGCACACTTGCACATTTTTCTCTGGTGCCTGCCCACTTCTAAGAGAAAACAAGCTTCTAAATTCCTAGGCTTCTCTATGTTGACAGGAGAAGCAGAGCCAGCATACGCATCCAATGACAGAAGGAAACCTGTGCCAACAGATTTGTTTACAAAACAGGGCCCAGCAAAGTCTGTCTCTTGGTGCCACAGCAGGAGCCATCCGACAAAACAAACACATAAGCACACAGGAATCTAAGAACTAGCCTGTGTGAGTTTGAGATTCTACTGGGCAGTGTATAATCCTGTGGGACCCAGGCTTGAATTAGGAATATATGCCACAACTCTAACACACAACATACTCCCCCATCCCACACGTTCACACACACAACACATACGATACACCCCTATCCCCGTACCACACACCTTGGGCATTAATCTCAAAGTTATTCCTCTGGCACGGATATGGATATGTCCTATCTTTAATTCTCTTTGTCTAAACTTCTATCTAGAAACAGCACACATTAAATTTCACATTTTTTTACCTTCATTCACAGCACAGTCATCCATCAAGGACTGGGAGCTGGATCCTTGACACCCACCTTCACTGAGGGGCCAGTTTGTTACCTAGTCTGGCTAGCACCCATTTACCACAGCTGCCTCTGTCTTCTCCCTCAAGCACTTCCAAAAAGTACCTCAGACCTTTGTCACTCTGTTCCTGGACAAGCGTGCTGGTCCTTTTAAATGGTCACTTGCCAACCAGTGTCTGTATGGCAGAAGGCAGAGCAGATAGAAGAAAGCTGATGTCTAGGCCCGGCTCTGCTGGAAACAAATCATGTAATTCCCAAGAAAGTAACTTAACGTCCATGGACCTCAGTGTCTGTACCTACTGCAAAAAGAAATGGCTGTCAAATTATATTAGCCACTCCATTATGTACAGAGCCACAACCTCCTGAAATTGAGTTTCTGTGTGTCACTAAACCCCCTAAAAAAATCTTCAGTTATCTTTCTAGGTTTAGAGGAGAAAAAATTATGCTCATCAACTTCTGGGGTTTTTAACAACTAAAAAAAAAAGGTGACAATTTCATAGAGAAAGTAAGGTACCACTCAAAAGCACTAATAGCCCCAGTGAGGACTCTGCTTTGTGTGCGTCCCAGGGGGTTATAGATACAGGCTCTAGCCTTCTCAACCACATTAGTGTCACTCACTGCTACACACTGTAGATCAAGAACCTGAGGCTGAGGGTAGGTGAGATGGTGTAGTGCCACCAAGCATGATGACCTGAGTTCCATCCTCACTTGGTAGAAAGGGGAACCAGTTTCCATCTTGTTCCTCACACTCACCTGCTTTTTGTGGGCAATGCTGAAGAGGCGAAGGTCATTGGCTTCCTGCCCCACGCCCACCACTGTATCCACAGGGCATCTGCGAGGTGTTAGGCTAGCCCTTTGTCAAGTTCTGCTTTAGAGGTCCACTGTATCCAATCTGCCTTTATCCAGTCACCTGAACATCTTCCTCCTTTCAGAAGAGCCTAAGATCAAGAAGAACTGTGTCTTACAATAATCCACTTTAAAGGTGAACAACCATCCGTAACTCCAGTTCCAGGTCATCCAACGCCCTCTTCTGACTTCTGTGGGCATTGCAAGACACAGGTGCACTTACCTACATGCAGGCAATATACTCATACACATAAAATAAAAATAATAAATATTTTTTTTACAAGGTGAGGCCAAGCGTGGTGGCACATGTCTTTAATCCCAGCACTAGGGAGGCAGAAACAGAGCTCTGTGAGGTCAAGGCCAGCCTGGTCTACACAGCAAGTTCCAGGCCAGCTAGGGCTACAGGGAAACACTGTCTCAAACACAGACAAACAAACATACAAAACAACAACAACAACAACAAAAGACCTCACTGGCCAGATGTGGTGGTACAGGCTTGTAATCCCAACACCTGGGATGCCGAAACAGGAGGTTTGCTGTGAATGTGAGTCTGGCCTAGGTTATATATTGAGCTTTAGGCTGATCTGGGCTACAAGGTGAGACTGTCTTAGGAAACAAAAAAAGAAACGAAACAAAAAACACTAGGCATTGATGGTATAGGCATATGACCTCAGTACTCTGGAGCCTGAGGCAGGAGGATTGTTGAGTTCTAGGTCAGCATGGGAATCATAGGGAGACCCAATCTCAAAATACAAAGAAAAACACAAAGTTCAAAAAAATATAAAATGGTTCTAATGAGCCAGGCTGTGTTGGCTTAGGCCTATAATTCTAGTATACAGGAGGGTTACTGCAAGTTTGAGGTCAGTTTGGGTTATATAGCAAGACCCTGTCTGAAAAACAAGGCCTTACTGATTCAAGCTTCTGACATAAAATGTATATATGTTTGTGTATGAATTAGATGAAGTGTTCTATTTTCTACAAATAGCCTTCATTTCAAGGCTTGGAGAAGGGCTATTCTGAAAAGACTGAATGGGATTTGTAATGCAAAACCTGGGATGCACATTAACTTAACTCAAGAAAACTCTGGAATGCAAAGTGTAGTTTGCTATACACTTGCTTTTTCTAGGGGCTATAACGTTCATCTCAATGTAATCAAATACAGCTGTATTCCATGCCAGAAAGTAACCCAGGGAATCAAGCACTTCAGCAAGCAGTCTTAAGTAGGTAAATTCTTAAGCAGCTACTGCAAGAGATCAGAAGTAGGGCGCTTTTGGTCTTGCAAGCCTGCTGTTTGCCTGCCTGCCTGCCTGCCTGTCTGAGACATGGTAGCATGTTCCTAAACATGTGGTTCTGTGATACCCTGCAACTGCATGTCTCCCAGAAGCATGCTGCCCTTCTTTGTATGGAATACTTAAGAGCTATAATCTCCACATAGTCTAGATCTGAGTCCTTTTCATACGTATGTGCAAAGCACATACATGCTGAATAAGAACAGTGCAGCGTTAAAAAGTAACATACACAAACACCTTTCTATAATTCAGAAATCTGAGGCCAAAGGAAATGGAAGGAAAAAACAGCCTACTGTTCAACTGCACTTCTGACTTTGCTTCCATAAGATTTTTTTTTTTAAACACAGAACTTGTTTTCTAAAGAAGGATCTTGTGGCACTGGCCTGAAGGCAGCACAATAATGCTGCTAAGACATCTGCTAATCAAGGCCACTGATAATGATATTCCCGCCCCTGAGGCTGCACAGGAGCTGAATGCCCAAGCAGCTCGGGCAGAGCAGCCAGGCCCTGCCATTCAGCCCTCCGGGGCTCGGGTGGAGTGCTTGTTTTGGAGACCATTCAGCCGACAGCATTTGGTTTCCTCCATTTAACCAGGTCACCCAGGCATGGAATGCACAGCTTTGCCAGACAGAGAGTGTTTGGGATGCCTAAGAAACAACAGTTTGTCCAGGCTACTGATGCGAAGAGAGGCCACCGTTTCCTTTTACTCTGTGTTGAATGGCAGCCTTGACGTCACAGCAGCTAGGAACCACTGGAGGGACAAATAACAAGGCACAAGCCAAAAGGGCCTCACTCAGTCTGAGGCAGTGACCAGGACTATTTTAAGTCTTATTCTGATACCTTCTGGGGCTGTAGAGCCATGGCATGAGCAGAGACAAACGCATGCAGCTTAAACAGAAAGGCAGTCTCTGGGCCCATGAAACGGATCTTTGGCTGGTGCTTAGCTCCATTCAAAACCCTGGATCAATCACAGTTCCCGAGTTAAACTTGTTTCTGACAGAACAGACTTCCCAGGGAATGCCTGCAGGGATTCTGACGATGGCTCGGACCTCTACACTTTTCCTGAAGGACTAAACTCCCTGAATGTAAAAGCAGACTTCATTTAGGGGATGGTCCGTGAACCTCTGGAGACACAAGGCACCCATGAAAGCAGGCAGTCTTTGCAGAACAGGACATCTTTTTAGAGAGTTTATAATGTAAGTATGAGCAAGTGAACATGCACATTAGCTCCCAACTACAGGTTTGTGAGCAAGCAGGTGAAAAATGCTGCGTGCTGGTGGCCCTAACTCGCCAGTCATTATCTACAATGAGTTGTCTGTGTTCAGTTAGGGCACTTTGAAAAGCACCATCCTTCCTGTTACATCTTCACATCAAAATTACGAATTATATTTGGCTATGTGAGTGTCAGATCATTTATTTCCGTTATAAACGCATGGCTAACTATAGCTATCCGGAGAAGTCTGCAGCCAGTATCTCAAAGCATCAAACACTACCTTCCCAGGACAGAAGGAACTTTCTGTGGCCTCCATGTAACTGTCCGAAACTCAATCCCTGCCTTTAGGGCACTAGCAGTTTTCAGCAGTCTTAGTTTGAACCAAGGCTGTCTGGGGTCCTGTAGGGCAATTCAAGCAGGGAAACCAGAGTCTGGGAGGGATGTTTGAGTGCAGCACACATGTGAGTACATGCATGTGTGAGTGTGTACATGTGCTTATGTACACAGCATACCCACAAGCAACTGAAGAAGCAATCTTGAAGGAGGAGCAACACTTTTGAGTTACTCTGTCCCCTTTTTAAAAAAATATATATTTTATTTATTATTTTTATTTTATGTGTATGAGTGTATTGCCTGAATGCGTGTGAATGCACCTGTGTGGTGCAATGCCTTGGAGGTCAGAAGAGGGCTTCGGATTCCCCTGGAACCAGAGTTAAGGGTGGTTTGTAGCCGCTATGTGGGTGCTGGGAACTGAATCCAGGTCCTCTGCAAGAGCAGCCAGGGCTCTTAACCGCTGAGCCATCTCTCCAGTCCCCTACTCTGTCCCTTTTATCAGGTCTTTGCTACCTGAGCATTCCCAAAGCCTCTCCTCTGTAAGGTCCCTGTCAAGCTTACTTCAAGAGAATACTCTGCTGTGGAGATCTTCCAAAGGAAAGCGGATGAGATTTTGATCCAAGTTCTCACCTACAACAGAACAGGCCCACCACATGGTCTGGTCAACCACTGTCCTCCACAGGATTCTAATGACCTCACCTAGGCAGATAACAACTGATCCTGTTGCTTAAAAAAAAAATCCAAGTGTGTTCACTCATAAAAGAAAGAAAAATAAAAAAGAGGCAAAAACAACAATAATTTCCTAACAGAAGGGTCTCTTCAAAGGTGATTTCACTCAGGTAAAACTGATTCCAGCTATATATGGCTAGTGTATTTTCAAGAGGTGTGTTTTAAGAGGTGAATGTTACT